GCTCTACAGTCATGGTGCAGATGGCTACACAAAATCGTGTTCAAAATCGGCAATGAATCGCCTGCGATTTGTGTAGCTTGTCAGTGAACTACGGCTCTGTGTAGTAAATGCCGCTCCATCTGAAAGCATGTGCTGGAGATTTACTACTAATCACAGGAGCAGCTTTACTGACAAGATGCACATGAAAATCGCATTCAATTTTTTGCACAGCCCTACTGTGCATACATACTGTTGGATTGAGGTGTGGAGGTCATTAATGTAACTGAACCCATTGTCAGGTTCATGGAAATAACTTGTAATCGTGTATGCCATTAGAAGATGAGTGAACTGTAGCCAATAAAGGATGCACATGGTCAGCAAAAATACTTCTTCTTCTTCTTCTTTACCTTTATTTAACCAGGAAGAAACTCATTGAGATTAAAAGATTGAGATCTCTTTTTCAAGAGTGTCCTGGCCAAGATAGGCAGCAGTACAACCATACATACACTCTTAAAAATAAAGGTGCTTCACAATGCCATAGAAGAACCTTTTTGTCTAAATGGTTCCATAAAGAACCTTTAACATCTGAAGAACCTTTCTGTTTCACAAAAGGTTCTTTGTGGCGAAATAAGGTTCTTCAGATTACAAAAAGGTAAGAAAGAGATGGTTCTTTAAAGAACCTTTGAATGAATGGTTCTTTGTGGAACCAAAAATGGTTCTTCTATGGCATCCCTTGAAGAACCTGTTGAAGCACCTTTATTTTTAAGAGTGTACATACAGGTACAAAATATAGTAACATAAAACAACTGAAATAGCGAATCCTTTAAAATAAACCACAATCAATAACACATCAGGCAGAACATCTACAGCCAGATGTGACATCCTCTTAAAAGCGACCAACGAGACCAGCGTATTAATTTTCATAGATTTCTGTAATTTGTTCCATGAAGAGGGAGCAGCATACTTAAAAGCCTTTTTTCCCAGCTCAGTTCTAACCTTTGGAACAGACAGAAGGAAAAGATCCTGTGAACGAAGATTGTAAGTCCCAGTATTATTTACACTGATGTAGGTCAGAAGCTAGGATGGAAGTAGACCTAAAAAAGCTTTGTATATAAAGATATACCAATGTTGAAGTCTCCGCATTGATAGAGAAGGCCATCCAACACGATCATACAGTTCACAATGGTGAGTGAGGACTTTAAAACCAGTGATGAATCTCGGAGCTCCATGGTATACAGTGTCCAGTGCATGTAAACTTTGAGACGAAGCATGCATGTATAAAACATCACCATAGTCAAGTATAAACATAAAAGTGGCAGAAACCAGCCTATTTCTAGATTCGAACGAAAGGCAGGATTTGATTCTAAAATAAAACCCTAATTTAAGTTTTAATCTTTTTGCTAGGTGCTGAATATGAAAGGTAAAAGAAAGAGATTCATCTATTAAAGTACCAAGATATCTGTATTTAGAGACACATTCAATCTTCGTTCCCTGGGAAGTGAGGATTGAAGGCAGATTTGATTTGGATTTAAAATTTGAAAAAAGCATGACTTTTGTTTTTTCAGCATTTAAAACAAGTTTTAAATCATAATTTAGAGACACATTCAATCTTCGTTCCCTGGGAAGTGAGGATTGAAGGCAGATTTGATTTGGATTTCAAATTTGAAAAAAGCATGACTTTTATTTTTTAACAAAACTTGTTTTTAAAGTTGTAATTGGGAGAGAGCCTGGTCTGCGGTGGGTGCTGAGCAATACAGTACAGTACAGTGTTATCTGCATAAAAATGAAATTTTCCTTTAGACACGTTACTATCAATGTTATTTATATAGAGAATAAAAAGTAGTGGCCCCAAGACTGACCCCTGAGGCATGCCTTTTGTTATTTTGAGATAGCGAGAGGTGTTGCCCTCCGCCTGCACACACCGAGTTCTGTCTGTAAGATAATTATCAAACCAGCTGACAGTTTGTTCAGAAAGTCCAGCCCTACACAGTCTGTGCTTAAGCACTGTGTGGTCCTACACGTTGGATGTGGCATTTTAACATTGCTCAATTAGTATTGGGACCCGAAAGCCGGCATCCCCACTGAACAATTAATGAAATGTTCAGGTGAAAATACAAACTTTTGAACATGTGTTTCAAAGTGGACATTTTTATAAATGATGCCATCATCTTCTCTGTGATTTTGTGAAAACGGCGATGTCATGCACGTGTATTACGTGTTCAGTCTGTAGGTATGTGCGCATGAGTGTAGTGTTTCTTTACATAGTTGCATCACCAGCTACTTTCCTGGCATGAATAATACAGCGTTTTTGGTAAGACTTTAGATTATGCAACACTATTCACTATTAACTAGTTGCTTATTAGCATGCATATTACTATCATATTACCTGTTTATAAGTAGTACTTATAAAGCACATACTGTATTAATGCCTTATTCTGCATGACCATATTCTAGATACCCAATTATAACTATACTACAACAACTACGTTACTTTCTATCAGCAAATTAGGAATTTATTGAGGAAACCTTTTCAAAACTGCGAAGGAAAAACTTTCTGTTTCTTCATTCACTATCCCTTATACAGTAAATGCCATATTGTCCACTATACAGTGTACAATTTGAATAACCCTAAAAGTTCTAGCATCTTTTCTTTTTTACACAGACTTTAATAGTGTGCACCAGAGAGGACTCATCAATATCATCAATTGATTAGACAAATGTACCTACATTCGAATATATATATACAGCATTAAGATGGGGGGGGATGCCGCTCTTAAGAAAAATGTAAATTTACTTTTAAACATATTTAGACACACATCAGCCAATGTGTCAAGGCATTGCAAGTTATGTCTCATATTTTATGGATTGCATGATACTCAACTGTATCAAAGTTACAGTCCTTTAAGCTAAAAATACTCGAAGCTGCATGGATGTTCTCAAAGGTCCTTAAGCAGCTTCAAGCTCTGAGAGATTCTTCTGTGTTTTTGTTACATTCCATGACCCACTGCCTTATCTTCATCCCTGAAACAGGCCCATTGTCTGGGACTGGCTTAGATTAGGGCCCTAACAAAGACAAGCTTCTTGTGCAGAGAGCGAGTAGTCCTTGAAAACAGGTGAATAGCTAGGCCTAGTGACAGCTGATTCAACTCATCACCTCATTATTGAGGAAGGTTTCTTAAACTGACTATTCTTCATTGTGTTTCATAGACAACTCAACAAAGGTGGCACAGTAAGTTTGGTCAGTGCATTTTCAAAGACTTTTTTGAAACAAATGAGTTGTATTTGAAACAAATGGCAAGGACCAGAAAAAGTCATAGTATTTTTTTAATGGCTAAGGTTAATTTTCAAACCCTGCAGCAGACAGAGAAGTGGCACACTTAGACTACAAGAACATGAATTCATGCATCATATAAATCCATGCAATGGCAATTTTACAAAAGAAGCACTGAAGAAACATTTTAATTATTGGTAATAACACAATACTAAAAATGACAACATCGTTATCAATATACACATGGCTATGAACATACTTATTCATGTGCTTATTAATAACGTAATACTTGCAATTCTTAAAAACTGCTTGTATAAACTGGGTAACAAAAGAAAGCACACAGCAAACTAGGAAATACACTTGAATGGCAAAACAGCAGAACTCACTGTACAGAAATACACACAGTCTTGTGCCTTGTCATCACGTTCTCTGTTCAGGACACAAATTAACAGAGTTGCATCACAGAAAGAGTATGTATATTCACACATAGTCTCGTTTGTCAAAGCCACTGGGCGGTACAGAACGTGCAGCGGAGTAAACCATCCTGCTGGGTGGGCCGTACCTATTCTCCTCCTGTGGGGGGCAACTGCAGCAGAGAATCCCCCCGCCGATCAGCAGAAGGGCGCTAGATGCCCATCCCAGGTAAAGAGACGCACCTATCTCCCTTTTTTGTGCCTCAATGATTACGGGGTTGTAGAAGGACCTGATGATACTGTGAGCAGACCAGCACACAGGGATCAAGTGCATGACCGCAGCGCAGATGAAGGTGACTCCAGCGACGATCATAACTTTGGCTTTGACGCGCTCCTCCTCTAGGCATTTAGTGCACTTGGCCCCCACAATGGAGAGCAGGAATCCCAGTACTCCCATCACAATGGCAATCACACACAGAGCCCGGGCCGCCTGCAAGTCTGAGCTCAGAGCCAGCATAGAGTCGTAGATTTTGCACTGCATCTGACCAGTGCTTTGCACCACGCAGTTCATCCAGATTCCCTCCCATATGGTCTGCGCCGTTACGATGTTCACCCCGATGAAAGCCGTAACCTTCCACATGGGCAAAGCGCAAGACACGATGCCTACAATCCAACCGAACACAGCTAAAGTGACCCCTAGTATCTCTAACCCTAGAGCTGCCATTCTGTTTTAAGAATTCGCAAAGGAAAGGCTCTCAGCACAATGGTTCATGCTTTATAATGCAACGATGAGGAAGGTGGAGTTATGTTGGAAAAAGTCTCGGGGGATTGGCTAAACTTTGAGTGAGTTTAACCTTGGCATGGAAACGAGTTAGTTTAATGATTTAGCTCTCTTCATCTGGTATTTCCCACTCGGAGACCAAATGGTGGATAGATAACAAAAGCCCAGCGGGAACTAGTTAAAGGATAACTGGCATGACTACTGCAAGTCTAGAGTTTTGAAGAAAATACTTCCAATGGCTTAAGATTGAAATGCATGCTTCAGGTGCATAAACGGGTATACTACATGCACAGACTTAATTTGTTTGGATACTATGAGCAGAGATTGATGTGAAAGTGATACTTCAACTGATTCGTCACCTGAGAAGGAGCAATAAAGACACTTAGGGCTGAGAGTCGACAAAGACTGAATCAGTGATGCCTGACAGTGTGACTTTAGCTGCTATCAGCAGTCCACGATTCCTCAAGGCCACACAATAATAGAATCACTCTAACCTAAACAGCATCAGGCATTATTAACTCTCTCGCTCGCTCTCTCACGCACACATTATGCACACACTTAGTCTTTAATCAGTCATGCATAGATATGTGAAGCCTGGTGACCTTTCATCAACCTTTGCAGTGTTTAATTATGTCGGAGCATGCGGAACAAGTGGAATGAGCATCTTCCAATTCTATTAACAGGTTTTCTTTCATACACTTTGGTTGTATATCATCTATGTCAATATTTAATTTTAATGAACAGTAAACTAAATACTGTTACAGTACCTTGAAGGATAATATTGAATGACTCCAAGACAAAAGTAGGTTAGCGTATTAAACCTACCAGAGCTTTACATATTTTCCAAATGACTGAACATTTTGAGAAAGAGTTACAGAAAGTAATTATTTAGGCATCTGCTCTGTAATATAGCAGGTGCTTTTATCTTCACCCGTGGAAGTCTCAGTTACGCTCTCTTGACTAAAGGATTGGGCACAAAGAGGTTTAGAGATTTACTAGAACAACCAGCGCATTGTCTTCATTCATGTTTGGGCCGACATGGAGAGTATCATTTATATTTGTGGTTGACCTGTAAGAGAAGGATTGATTTCAAATTATTACAAAGTGCACGGTTTTGCTGACATTCTTTGCTTCACTCTAGTTTCAGAGTTCTCCAAGTTTTTTTTTTATTTTTGCTACAGTTCCACCTTGATTTAATGTTATGTAATGCCTGTTTAAATAAATTCAAGTATGTTTGTCCATTAATTAATATGGTAACACTTTATATTAATAATCCACTTTAGACATTCTACTAACTATAAGTAACTTTGCACATACATGTCAACTGATTCTACTAACTCTAAACCTAACCTAACAGTCTACTAATACTCTAATGAGAGTTAGTTACAAATTTACTTATAGTTATTAGAATGTCTTAAGTGGACTCAAAATAAAGTGTAACCATTAATTTAGCAATATGATTTAGCAATCACATTTTCAGTGATATAAAAGAGCAACTGGTTATTCACCTCTTAGCATTTGGATCATGCAACACTTAGATCAAAAGACAAAGTTATTGCAACAATAACAATTACATTATAAAATGAAAATAAAAACAGGTGCCAGGTTGGTAATCAAAGTTCAGCACCAGTCATTAATTTGTTATTGACATTTCAATGCTAGTCATTTAGCAGTATTGTTGGCTTTTCTCTCAAGGTCCTTCACGTGCAAAGATTCAGACCTCTCAAACATAGTCTCTCCTGTCATATCCATTCACCGAGATAGATTTGATCCCCGAGTAGTCCACTCTTGTCGGCGCGGCATTGTTCTGTGCTTTCGAGGAGCAAGAACAAGACAAAATAGCTCCACCTAGGATCAGCAGGCAGGAGGCGCCCCATCCGAAGTACAGCGAGTTCCCAAACTCCCTCTTTTGCGTCTCCTCTAGAAGCGGGTTGTGGAAATCCAGGATGATGCCGTTAGCTGTCCAACAGACGGCCACTAGCAGCTGCAGCCCACACGTTATAAACGTCACCCCGGCTGCCAGCATAATGCGTGGCTTGTTTGCTGTATCTGAGGTGCAGTTGGTACACTTTGCCCCAGCCACTGCCAGAGCCATGCCCACCACACCGAGCAGTGTACTTACAACGGTGAGAGCCCGGGAAGCCTGCAGGTCGTCGGGAAGCCCCAGCATGGAGTCGTAGACTCGGCAGTGCATCTGTCCTGTGCTTTGCACCACGCAGCTCATCCACAAACCTTCCCACACGATCTGCGTGATGACGATGTTCTGGCCTATGTACGCCGCTACTCTCCACATGGGCAAACAGCAGGCAACCATCACGCCGAGCCACCCGGCCACGGTCAGGATCATCCCCAGGATCTCCAGGCCGGCTGAAGCCATCGCGCTTCGCTGTTCTGTTCTGTTTCACAGACTGCGGTGCTCAGGATCCAGGACTCAGCTCTGAAGATTAGCTCTGATATTAGAGACTTGAGGATTTGCTTAAATGAAGAAATGGTGAAAGAGAGAAAGGGAGAGAGAGAGAGAAAGAGAGCGAGGGAGGGAGGGAGGGAGAGAGATACGGTTTCTACCTTCTTTATACTGCTAAGAGAAGATGGAAGGTGGAGTCTTAGATGGCATCGTGGTTTGTGTGGTACAAGAGAGACTGGGGCTTTTTGTAGCACTTTTCTTGTAATGGGATGGCATTATTAAAATGATCCACTCAAATGCTTCATATCTGGAAGGTATTAGGTATTATTTTTATTTTTAATCAAATGCGACAATGAGGAAGAATAGCAGCGTGTTGCATGCATGAAAAAAGTGTTTGAAATCATTTTGATTGTTATCCTAAGAAGGAAGATTATAAACAATTAAAAACAATGCATTAAAAAGAACTAATATTTCTGTCTTCTTTACTTGTTCAGCCCCAGTAATTATATGGTTCAGATTTCAGTCCGGTTGATCTTTCAAGCGCCTGCCTGCCATGGCATCACATAAAAGTATACATGTTGTCCCACATTAAAATCTAGTGTCTCATGTGTCCTTGAGAAAATCTGCTGAATCACTCCTTTTTGAGAAGAGACAATTCATCTCTTTGTTTTCAGGAGTAAGACACATAATCCAACGGGATCTCGGGAGTATCCATACTGTATGTAAAGGGTGCTTCTAACACACTTACATTTTCCATATGTTTGCATGGAAACATACATTATTAGCATACTTCATAGAATTAATAGGCTGACTTTGTTCAGTGACATAGTTTGTTCTGCCACTTATCATCATATTGAGCACGCCAAGAAAACAGTAGATCTACAATATTAGCAAGTATGACTCTATTTACTTTAGTGACTTATTCTCGCTATTAACAATTTGCTTATTAGCATGCATATTACTAACATATTGGCTGTTTATTAGTATTTATAAAGCACATATCAATGCCTTATTCACCGTTGAACATATTTTAGATCCCTTAAACCTACCCCATACCTAAACTTAACAACTACCTTACTAACTATTAATAAGCAGCAAATTAGGAGTTTATTGAGAGAAAAGTCATATATGTGTTTTCTTTTCTAATGTGTTACCATATTAGCATAATATCAACATAAATTTATCACCGTGTTAGTTGTAGTGGGTGACTTACTATGCAACAAGCTATACGCTACCAAACAAATAGCTAACATAGCAGACTCATGGAAAAATACATTGGTTATTTTTTTTTTATCATGACTAATTTATTAATAACTCATCATCTGTATTAAAGAGAAAATAATAATTTCATCATATTTCATGTTTAAAGTGAATAAAATAGCCTTGACAGCCTCCTTACTGGAGTTCCACAACTACTGAAGAACTTTGTTTTCTCCCACTTTCTGTGTGTTGGTGAAGTAAAGGGGGAAAGCAGGCAGTGGTCCAAAGCACTGTGAGGCTAGGGAGGAGGACTCTAAATGTTTCTAAACTTAAAACACAGTTTTGTTTAGTTTTTTGCCCCATTTGCGTTTGTATTGTTTTACTACTTACAGTAAGTATAACTTTAAGTATATATCATTATATGTTTTACAACACACATCGTGGTTTTTAATGATATTTTTAGGGGGGGGGGGGCAACTAGAAACAAACGATCGCATATGTAAGCAGATGCATATGTAAAATATTGTGATCATCAAACATTAAACAGCATATCAATCAAAACTGCCTGACATTACAAGGGAAATGTCGACTCGGGAAGCGGTTTAGGACTGTGAAGCTTTGAGGGTGTTGATGGACTCGATCTACTCCATCTATGTTTTGATCATTATTCTGAATCCGGTGCGGACATAGTCTTTGACAAAAACCCGATTTTCTCAGCTTTTTGTAAAATTATTATTATTTTTTTTATAAAACTGGCCCACATTTAAGTGTTGATAAGAAAAGAATGCATGAACCTAGAATAAAACAGGGTTTTTTTCAGTTTGTAATTTAAAAGCAGAGGCTCTGTTGTTTCTTTTGACATATTGCATGTTCAGATATACATACAACACAATATTCTGGGGGCCATGAAAGTTTTTTGAAAATGCTAAAAAAAATAAATGCTGGCAGTGGCTGGCAACTTTAAAAAAAATGCTGGCAGGGAAAGAGAAAAAAAAAACTAAAATAAATGGCACTTTAGACAGAGGTCATGAGAGGGATCAGAGGAGAAGCACTTTTCAGAGTTGCTCAAATTTAGATAAAAAAAAAGCATACTAAAATGACCATTATGTTTTTTTTATTTCCAACCACAGTGCTGATAGGGGGATGAAAACAAAATACAAGGTCTGACAATTAGCACATATGAGACAAGACCCCAATAAATTGCTATAGAATTCAACTGTTTGGTTGCAAAACTTTGCATGATTAATTATTGCAAAGCTACAACAATCATTAACTGATATATATATATATATATATATATATACATATATATATATACAAAGATCAGTGGTGCATATACATTTAGAATATGTTCAGATCCCTTCATTATTTACTGAGCAATCTACTGATCAAGCCATAGTGATGTGATCCAATACTGACCGCCATTCAGTCTTTCTGGGGTGCATCTGTATGGTTGCATAAGAAATATAGTCAATTTCACAGTTGCATATGGTGCAAACCTTTTTCCAAAATGACAATGCTCCATTCACACTGCTAAGAATGTTAAATTTTGAATTTATTAAGTCAAATGACTTTCCAGATCTCAGGATCATCGAACCTTTATGAAAAGTTCTGGGCTACAGAGTACATTTGATTCCGTCACAAAATTAAATGACACCAATTAAAGATATAATTAGTTATTCCACTACACACAGGTCAGGTTTTATGTAACAGCAGTTCAAAAAAGATTGATACTGGAGACGAGATTTTCCTAAATCTAATCAATGGAGACTACAAACAGTGGAAAGATTTAATATTGTAGACTGCTTTCGGATGACTCCCAGTGCTTCTATCTATCTTGAAAAGATTCACTTTTGTTATCAAGGCTAAAACATTGTGCACGCCAAATATATTTTCATTGCATATGTTTACTGTTTTAGATTTAATTCTGTTGGGCTCTGTGTACAGTATGCAAATG